GGCGGTTATTTAATATTGAGGTTTATGAAAGAAATTATTCTTTTGAATCAAATAGAGATTTCATCTATGGTATGAGTTTCTAACTTATGATTTATTCTAATATATTTAACACATTTCATCTAATTAATTTGTTTTAACTAAATCATATTATGTTATATTATGTAGTACTTTGATGAATACAAGTGTTCTACTTATTCGAAAGATCATTTGGACGAAATTAAGGAGGATTTGTGTCAATTCATTATTGAGATGAGAATTTTATAAGGTATTGTGACACTTTCATTGATCATAATTTTGAGTATATATAAGTTTGAGTTAATGAGGTACTATGTCATCATAGTGTAGTAAATTGGTGCAATGTTGTTGTTGTTGTTGTTATTGAGATGAAAATTTTGTTTGTATTTGAAATTTTATCGGGGAATTTTTAATGATGGGTTATAACAGAATCGGGGAATTATGTTTGTATGTATGAATCGGGGAATTTTTAATGGTGGATTATAACGAAATTTTGTTTGTTTGTATGGATGAAATCGGGGAATTTTGTTTGTATGCATGGTATGAATCGGTGAATTTTGTTTGTATGTATGAATCAGAGAATTTTTAATGGTGGATTATAACGGAATTTTGTTTGTTTGTATGGACGAAATCGAGGAATTTCATTTGTATGCATGATTTGAATCGGGGAATTTTGTTTGTATGTATGAATCGGGGAATTTTTAATGGTGGATTATAACGGAATTTTGTTTGTTTGTATGGATGAAATCGGTGAATTTTGTTTGTATGCATGGTATGAATCGGAGAATTTTGTTTGTATGTATGAATCGGAGAATTTTTAATGGTGGATTATAACAGAATTTTGTTTGTTTGTATGGATGAAATCGGTGAATTTTGTTTGTATGCATGGTATGAATCGTGAAATTTTGTTTGTATGTATGAATCGGGGAATTTTTAATGGTGGATTATAATGGAATTTTGTTAATTTGTATGGACGAAATCGGTGAATGTTGTTTGTATGAATCTTGATTTGTTTTTGTTACATTGATTTTTAAGTGTTATATATATATATATATATATATATATATATATATATATATATATATATATATATATATATATATATATATATATATATATATATATATATATATATATATATATATATATATATATATATATATATATATATATATATATATATATATATATATATATATATATATATATATATATATATATATATATATATATATATATATATATATATATATATATATATATATATATATATATATATATATATATATATATATATATATATATATATATATATATATATATATATATATATATATAGCTTGATTCTAATATATATGCCTTTGTTTGTTTTGTTTCATGTAGGTGCATATATGTGTAGAAGATATATAGATTCATTTAGGATTCTTCATTGTTGTTGTTTGTAGAGAAGATAGTAGAATATAGCAGCTTTAGAAGATAACAATATTGAACACTTTAAGTTGTATTTATGTATATATAAATTGTTAGATTAAAGTTGTATATATAAATATGTAAATTTGGTTCATATTTATTGGATTGAAGCTTCAAAAATTTATAAATTCTGGTGCAAATTTGAAAGACAACGCTTAAATTTTAAGTGATTATGTGTACAGGGCGCTTAAAATATAAGTTGATTATATTAAAAAATCCGTTAACATTAAACAGCATTTTAAACCAAAAAGCGCTGCCTATGACATAACAAGCGCTGCCTAAAAGGGGACATTAGGCAATGCTTAACTAAAATATATAAAAAATAATAATACAATAGACAACGCTTTTACTATAATGTGCCTATAGCTAGGGGTGTTCAAAACCAAACCGGCCCAATAAAAAACCGCAAAACCGAACCGAACCAAACCGAAACCGCAAAAAACCGCATTTGGTTCGGATGTGTTTGTGTCATTTTCTCGTGGAACCGCATGGTTCGGTTCGGTTTGCGATTTGTATTTTACAAACCGAACCAAACTAAACAAAACCGCATTATGTTATAAAATCTTACTAACCAATATATATTTCTATAATTCTTTAGAGAAATCAACATGTATTATGTGTATATTTTATCATACTTTGTACTATATTCATTTTAATTTACAAATCATAAAAAATAAAATATTATTCATTTATAAATACTATTTTCACAAAATATATTTTATCATATTCTTTGTATAATATTTATTTCAGAATGCAATCTTGTTGATATCATTATTTATATTTAGATAAAATTATAATACGCAATTTTATGTATCAAATTATAAATTTATTTTGACAATTATAAATTTTTTATGGTAATGTATGAACAATTAAATATAAAATTATATTTTCCTATATATTTGTATGTATGACATAATAATTATTTTTGTAAAAAACCGAAACAACCGAACCAATCCAAACCGCATTAGTTTGGTTTGGTTTGGTTCGGATTTATTTTTAAAAGTCAACCGAACCAAACCGAACCGCATGTTTTTTTCTCTTGCGGTTCGGATGATTTTTTGCTTCAAAACCGCCCAAACCGCACCGCGAACACCCCTACCTATAGCAGCGCTTTCACTTTAGACAGCGCTTGAAGAAGCATGTGAAGTTATTTTACTTTTGGAAAGATGGACAATCAACCTTAATGCAATCTTGTTTTCCATATTCAAAGCATGTGAAGTTTTGATTTGACATTAATGTTTCCTTCATCTTCTTCATAAATCTCTTTCCTTGATCAAATCTCATCATCTTGTCTTTCTTTAATAATTTACCAAACTTCTTTACTATAAGAATTATGGTGTCATCGTCTTCTGAACCATCTTGTTGATTCATATTTAACTCGACCTTCAAGGATTTATTTTAATGTCCCTTTTAAAGTTTCTCATGTTGTTATAATCAACCAAGTTGTAATTCATGTTCTTGTAACTTTTCAAATAGTGTTGTCGATGTTATTTTTGATAGGACTTTCTTTTCTGAAATGGTTGTTGCATTTGATTGCCACGCTCTTGTCAAATATCTTAAAACCTTTAATTTTAATTCATTGTTTGTAAAGATTTTTTCAAGAATCGTTAGGTGGTTTTTTAAGTGGGTGAATATCTTTTGTATATATATAATTTTCTCTCCCAGTAACATTCTAAACATTTTGTATTCTTGAGAAAATGGTGTTTAATCTATATCTTTTTACTTCTTTTGTTCTTTCATGTGGTGTTTCTAAGGTATCTCATATTTCTTTAGAGGTCTTACAATTTGATACTCTAAAGAATTCATCCATTCATAAGCCGGATGCTAGAATATCTTTGGTCTTTTTTTTTCATATTGAATTTTCTTTGTATCATCTTAATTTCATGCATCTTTAGGCTTAGGTTGTTCTACACGCTTAAAAACGGTAATAGGTATGAAATGTCATTTTTCAACGATATTCCATACTTATACACCATGAGATTCAAGAATCTTTGCTTCCATGTTTTCTAAAAATCGTAACACTCACCAGTAAAGTAAGGTGGTCTATTTATACTATAGCCTTCTCCTAAGAATGATTTAGTGAAAGCCAGATATCTCAGATCTAGGAGCAATTTACCCAACATTGTGATGCTAATTGTATGTATTAGATGCAACATAACAGGGGGTGAATTAGGATCACTGATGTTTTCTTCGTTTTAACATTAAATTTTTTATGATTGAATTTTGTCGAAGCGATGTTGTGTTTATGTTATTTGTTCAGAAATATAAAGTGAAAAATTTTAAAGTACAGAAATTAAATAGCACACAAGAATTATCCTAGTTCACTTTCTTCAAATGAAGGCTAGTCCAATCCTTCTATCTAAGGGTGGAAAAATGGGCCCCTCCCGTTTGGCCTGCATGTTTTTCCCGCTCTTTAGTGAAGGACGGCCTAAGCATTTAGACCCATACTCTCTAATGTGTCTGCCCTTCCCTGCCTTTTTTTTTTTACGAGCTTTTGCGGGCGCGTGTATTACCATAAAATTTTGTATTTTTAGGCTTAAAAGTTGCAGTACCCGTGTGCCTGCTCCACCCTCGCTTTTTTTATACGGAGGGCCTAGGTTCTAGGTGTGTACTCTCAATTTTTCCATCCCGTCTCGTCCCTATTTTTTGTGGACTTTTGTGGAGCGTACTTAAATCTGGTAGGCATACCCGTTTGCCACCCCCACTTCTATCTCTTTAGAGGATTTTCCAATATATTTTATAATTCATGTACAAGTGTCACACCAAGAATTTTCTTCCAAACTTCTAACGTACGCAACAAAACACACCGCTTTCTTAATATAAGTACTTTTCACCAACTACAGTGATGAAGAAGCAATAAACCACACGTTGACTCCTTGAACACATATTACAATATTAGATTGAACTTGTGATATGTGGTTTAAAATTATTAAAAAAGTAGTTAAATTTAGCTCATTCTTAGAAGATTAATTTGTAAAGTGAGAATTATCCTCAACTTATAATAGAAATATAATAGTAGGTGAGTCAACAAATGTAAACCATATTAAAATTTAGGTTAAGCCCAAATGGTAAAATTTATAAATCCCAAATTCCAATCATCTTAGTATGTAACCAAAAAAACTTAACTTTAATTCCTCTTTAAGTAAGTAGAAAATAAGTGAAGTTGGGATTTTGACACGTCTTCTAGAAACGAACAAAGCATGTATCAATTTGAGGAAATGTGAATGTCAATGCTTAGTGTTTGTTTTAATCATTAATGTCTAGCCAACTCCACCAACCTCGCGGGCAAACTCGTGGGCAATAATTAAACGCGACCCAAAAATGTCTGGAGAGTAAAAGCTTGAAAAAATAAGTGGACATAAGATAGAGTTTCTTAATTATCTTATCCCTACTAGTACCTACCCAACACTAATTACATGGATTTTGAAATGATATTTATCTCGAAGCTAGAGTGTGGATTTTGTATGTTTCTACAATTGATTTGAGATCTAAAAGTAAAACAAAGAGAAGAATCAATGGCAACAAGAAGCAATCAACTTCACATTGCCATGTTTCCATGGTTTGCTACAGGTCACATGACTCCATTCCTTCACCTCTCAAACGAATTAGCCAAAAGAGACCACAAAATCACTTTTCTACTACCCCATAAAGCTCATTTTCAACTTCGCCACCTTAATCACCACCCATCTCTTATCACATTCCACACCATCACTGTTCCTCACGTTGAAGGCCTTCCTCTCGGCACAGAAACAGCCTCAGATATTCCCATTTTTCTCAACCACTTACTCGCCATTGCCATGGACAAAACCCGTGATCAAGTTCAACAAACACTGACCATAATAAAACCCGACTTTGTTTTCTATGACAATGCTTACTGGATGCCTGAAATAGCTAGAGAAATCGGTATCAAAACCGTTTGTTACAATGTTGTTTCCGCTTCTAGTTTGGCTATTGCACTTGTCCCTGCAAGAAAAGTGAATGATTCCATTACTGAGGAAGAACTCAGGGTTCCACCAGAAGGGTACCCTTCTTCCAAAGTTGTTCTTAGTGGTAATGAAGCAAAGGCTTTGTCTTTCATTTCACTACCATTTGGAGAAGGAAACATCACGTTCTATGACAGAATCGTAATGGCTATGAAAGGAAGTGATGCTATAGGAATTAGAACAACGAGAGAATTAGAAGGTAACTTTTGTGACTATATTGCTTCACAATATGAAAAGCAAGTGCTTTTAACCGGACCAGTCTTGTCATTGGATGATTCCGCGTTTGAGGAGAAGCTGGAACCTTATTGGGCTGATTGGCTTGATGGATTTGAACGTGCTTCAGTTGTGTTCTGTGCATTTGGGTCACAGATCAATTTAGAGAAAGCTCAATTCCAAGAAATTCTGTTGGGTTTTGAGCTTTCAGGGTTGCCTTTTATTGTGGCTCTTAAAGCTCCTATTGGGTGTGAAACAGTAGAAGAAGCTCTGCCACAAGGTTTTGAAGAAAGAGTAAAAGGAAGAGGAAAAGTTTCAAGGGGTTGGGTTCAACAACCATTGATGTTGAAACATTCATCTGTTGGGTGTTTTGTGAACCATTGTGGCTTTGGTTCTATGTGGGAGTCATTGATGAGTGATAAACAGATAGTTTTGGTGCCTCATCTTGCTGATCAGGTTTTGAATACCAAGTTGCTTGTTGGTGAATTGGAAGTTGCTGTTGAAGTTGAAAGAGGTGAAACTGATGGTTGGATCTCAAAAGAGAGTTTGAGTAAAGCTATTAGGTTGGTGATGGATGAAGGAAGTGAGGTGGGTGTGAGAGTGAAGATTAACCATGCTAAGTGGAAGGAAAATGGAGGAACTTCGGTGTTAATCAATGCTTACATTGATAAGTTTCTCCAAAATCTTCAACATTTCTCAAATTAGTACGACTTAATCAGTCTTTAAATTGAATAAGTGGTACTTGATCACTCTCCTTAATTCGGTACTAGAACTATCTTATCCACCACTCATTTTATAATAAATAAACGTGTTCTTAATATTTTAATCAGTTTGACTTTTACACTACAACGAATAACACTTTTTATAACGAAACTTTCTTCTCTAACATATTAAAAGTCAGCGCTAAAATTGGAACATTTAATTTAACCGTAGTTTTTAGCATTAAAAGTGAGCGCTAAAATTGGAACCTCTAATTTAACTCTAGTTTTTATTTGTAAATTAAATGTTCTAACTTGTCGGTTATCCTTAAAATCGATGTAACATTTAACATAAAAATTGAGATATTTATCAAATCCTTAATCAAATTCTTGTCGTTCATTTTATGACTATCAACGATCAAGACATTACCGTTAGTGATCCGCGTGAAACATAAATTACTTTCATTATAAAAGCATTATGAAACTATCAAGACATTACCATTAGTGCTCAACTTTAAGATTTGCAAGAGTCTTTGTCATGAAGAGTTCTCTATGGTTTAAGCTTTGTGTTCTTAAATATTTATTTGAGCACAAAATCATTTATTTATCTAACCATTTTTGTGTAACCCTTTTTTTGTTCATATCAGAAACAAATGCAAACAAAATCCAATATCATAAAGAGTTTAAGGCTTGCAAGAGTGTTATCTATGAATAGTTCTCCATGATGGATTGCAAGAGCAGATTTTTTTTTGGGTTTAAGGTTTGTGTTCTTAAATATTTATTTTAGCAAAAAAATTATTTATTTATCTAACCCTTTTTTTGTTCATATCAAAAACAAATGCAAGCAAAAACCGTAGAAAATATATCGGGGAAATTATATTGTTTGAAGATCTAAAATCTATATCTAGGGGAAATTAATTTACCTAACCATTTTTTTTGTTGGTATAAAAGAGTTTCATAGCATTTGATCTTGCCCAGAATATCAAGGAATTGAAGATCCAACATATGATCTTCAAGGATAATTATTTTTTTTTTGTGTAAAAAATATAACGAGTTTTTTATTATAAAAAAAACTAACAACCCCTCAATTATTTTGGTAAACCGAGATAAAATATATGTTAGTTTTGTAAATAATAGAAGTTGCAGTGTTGGGGTTCGAATCCATGCGCTAATAAAATTTTACTTCGTTGTTTTAAACACCAAGGTGACAAGTCTTTACTTTTTATGACGACCTTATTCACCTCGCCTCTATTGTCGAGGTAAAATGTATTTCACGTCCTACGTTACAAGCGTTATTTATAGTAGTGTTAGCATTGTTGACCTTTTGGTGATAACCTATGTTGATGCCTTTTAAGAAGGCGACATTGATTGTATGAATGATGGGTACACCTTTTGATGAGGCGAGAGTTGATTGATATGTATGTTGATGTTTGTTGAAAGGTGGGAGTAATTGATATTACCCATTGATGGCTTTTGATAAGGCACAAGTTGATTATGTTGACGCGATATGATATGACAAGTTCATAAATCTGTGATATTTTATCTATATTGATTATAGTTATGCCTTATGATAAGGCGAACATACATGAATCTGCATGTGTTTTCTTTTGAGTTCCTATTAACCTTGGTTAATCTGTATCGAGGCATTTAGGATTTGAGTAGGCGAGGCGGGTTTAGGTGTTTACAAATGGGCGAGTTTTAGATAAGTTTTATAGGAGAAAAATGAGAGAATTGAAAAAGTCGAGGAAAAGTCAAAATTGGGTACTATACAGAAATCAAACCAAAAAATTGGCGGCCACGTATGGCAGCAGCCAAAGGCAACGGTGACGGTGGAAGCAAAGACAGCGGTGGTGGCGACAATGGTGGTCGATTGGATCGGTCCGGTGAGTTTTCAAGTCATTTTCGATTTCGTGTCGGTCATTTAGTTTCTTGCATAACTTGAGTTCTGTAACTCTGTTTGAGACGATGTTTGAAGCATTGGGGAGATGGCGCGTAATATTACTTCATGGTAATGTCTTAGGAGATAAATGTGCACATGAATATGTGAATTCAATATGTTACTCATGGTGTTTATAAATGAATAATAACGAAGATATAAATCCTTAATGGTTGTTATTAATGATAAAAGAGTTTTAACCGTGTGATTGATCGAGTTGAATCAAGAAGATTGGGTTTGAGTCATTGACGTGTTTAAGTTTTTTAGTAACGTTGATGTGTTTGGGAGTGCTATGTAAATCAAGAGGGTTGCATTTGAGTAATCTGACGTGTACAGAGTCGGGTTTGATGGATAGTTGAGTGTGTACGATAATAAGTTTACCCTGTTGACGAGTATTATTGAAATAATAATATAATTATATGTATTGAGACAAACTTTAATTATATTATGATGATTTGAGTAGTTTAGAGAGGAACTACAGTAATGTTCTTATATTGGTGATATTTATGTTGTGATGTGTAGTTCAGAGAGGAACTACTGTTGGTGACCTTATATTAGCGATGTTGTGGGTTCAGTGAGAAACCCATAATGATTGTTTCATTATTATTATTTGTTGAATTTCACGCATTCAAGTATATCAGAGATAGGTAGGACTTTAGTCCAGTGAGGTTCTCAGATTCACAAAGGGAACCATTAGTTTAGAGAGGAACTGGAGGCAAGTCTCAGATTCATAGAGGAATCATTGGTTCAAAGAGGAACTAGAGATGTTAGATCAATCAGTAACATAACTTTGAATCCAAAACCTTGGTACCACATGCATTAGAGTAGAAGATGAGAAAATGCATTTTGCATATATATCTTCATTTGTGATTGATTATTATTTTGAATTAATATATGTGATTGTTGAATAATGTTATTGAACTACACACCAATAACATTTGTGAATGTATTGTCACCCCTATTTGTTTGTTTGTGTTGTTCATTATGTCGGTGTTGCAGAAACTCGGGTAGAGGAGCATTAGTTGTTGTTGTGTTGAAGAATGACGTAGGTGACTTCTTATTTATTTTTTGCTTTGAGTTATTTTTAGTATACCAGCGTTTCGCTCTGATATGTAACACTACGATGGGTTTTCATTCGTTTTACGTTTTTTTGAGAATTGTTGGATTAATTTCCTTATGGTTGAAATTGAGTTATGTTAATTATGAGATATCTAAGTTAAACATGTTTTAGAGTTTTCACTGTTTTATTCAAAAAGTTTTGACGAAAGATGTTTTATGAAAGGGATGTGAAACCCTCTGCTGAAAAAAAAGTATTTTTGCCTGATTTTATTTAAATAAGAGTTTTGGGGGCTTAGGGTGCTTGTGATACGGTGGAAGAACTGACTTGGGTGTTTTGCGTTTGATCGTAAATGTTATCGTTAGCAAGAGTCGTCACCGACTTTATCTTTTATCCAAAAGGAAAGGTAAAAAAGCACAGGAAAGACCTTTGAGATTGTTTCTTGAGTTCGGGGGGTAGATATGAAAAGGAAAGGTATTAGCACCCTTTTCATTCATGGTTTTTCACGTGCTCTTAGTTACTTGCTAGATCACTTGCTTTTGTTTGAAAATGTGCTTTGTGTGGTTTTTGAAAAGTATTTTATAAAGAGGCCTTTGTCTAGGCAAACTTTGTAATGATTTTTGTTTCGTAAGATAGTAAGTATACAAAGGTGTTGATATTTTGAAATGTTTTCAAGTTTTGAAGATGCTTTGAAAGTGTTGGTGTTTGTTTTGAAAATAGCAAGGATGTTTTTGTTTTGAAATGGAGCAAGTAACTAGGAACATTCTACCTACTCAAAAGTTTTTCATGTTCATTTCTTTTTTCCTTTGATATTGTTATCTTACCATTGATTTGGTAAGCAACCTATCTTTGGATGTAAAAGGGACGGGCAAAGGGTCATCGTATAACCATGATTAGCAATGTTGCAAGATATCTTAGCATTTTTCTTTAGGGACTAAGATCATTTTGAAAGGCAACATAGATAGCGTCATCGAGGGACTATGATCTTGTATTTTGCTTGTTTTTGCTAAGATATCTCACATGCATAATATGGTCATTTTTATAAGGCAACCAAGTGGATTTACCTTAGGGGTGTTTGTGTGCAAGTGTATAGATTTTCATGCTTGATTTGTCTTTGATTAGGGTTTTCTATTGATTGGTTTTAGTCTTTCCATACAAAACACTAATTACTAGCATTTTATATATAAAGCGATAAATTATGGAATTTAAAATTACTACGCTATTACATTATTTAGGGGAGGGGGTATACAAATTACAAATGGGGATTTGCAAGAAAATTAAAACCAATTAATTATTACAACCATATTGAATAATATACAAGAATTGCATAAATAATGTACAAGGATATATATGCAAAAAGAAAATGATTTTTATTTGGTTTTTAATGAAAGGGTTTGGTCTTGACTTAATTAAGAACATGATTAGTTAAAAAATAAACAAAATTTAATTTAAATTAAATAAGAAAGAAATTAAGTTTAAAAATGATTTTTTTTAGGGTTTTTGTGAAAGGTTTTAACTTAATAATAATATGATGGAAATTAATTAATTAAAAGAAACCTAAGTTCTAAATTAATTTTAAATAAAAAGAAAATAAAATAATAATCAAGCCTAAGTCTAAATATTAATTATTTAAGAAAGAAGAAATTAATTGTTAAAAAAAATGTTTTTAATCTTTTTTTGTTTTATAAAGAAAAATAAAAAAGTATGGACTATTTTTAAACATGCAAATAAATAAATAAAATATTTTTGGATTTGTTTTATTAATAAAAATAGTAATAACAATAATAATATTAATAATAATATTAATAATAATATTAATATAATAATAATAAATAAAAGATGAAAAAGTAAAAATAAAATAAAATAAAAAAATAAAGTCAGAGGGGGTTAATAAGTGAAACAAGGAGTATTGTAAGAAGAAAAAAAATCAGGTCCAAACTGCTGGCCCAAACGCTGCAAAAAAAGTGTCAAAAATGTGAGAAAATGTAAAAAAAGCACAAAAGGTCACGCTAGA